CCCTAAACCCTCAAGATGACTTCCTACTTCACACCAACACCTTTTCTTGATGAACAAACCCTAATTGATGTCGAGAAGAACTGCTTCTGCATTGAAAACCCTCCTAAAAATATTAAAGAGGCAGCCAAACCCTCAGCTATTTGGGAGGCTCTACATAGGGTTTATCCAGCATGGTTTGATCAATCTCTACACCCTGATGCATGCGAATCTCCCCAGGTAAACCCTAAACCCTAAACCCTAAACCCTAAACCCTAATCAACCCAAACAAACCCTAATAAACCCGAACAAACTCTAATAAATCCAAAGAAACCCTAATAAACCCTGTGAAACCCTAGTAAACCCTAATAAACCCTAATACACCCTAATAAACCCTAAACAAACCCTAAACCCTAATAAACCCTTATAAACCATAGTAAACCCTAATAAACCCTAGGAAACCCTTGTAAACCCTGCAGACTGAGAAGCGCTTGCAACACGATCCAAGAGATACACTTCTGCTTGTTGTACACACGAAACCCTAAACCCTAAACCCTAAACCCTAAACCCTCTTCTCTAGCTCGTCTCCCCGAGTTCCAACTGCTGCGCCTACTGCGCAATCCCTAAACCCTAAACCCTAAATTCTGCGTGTAAACCCTAAACCCTAAACTCTGTCTGTAAACCCTAAACAGTAAATACTTGATTCTGTGTGTAAAACCTAAACCCTAGAATCTCTGCCTAAACCCTAAACCCTAAACTCTGTGTGCAAACCCTAAACCGTAGACTCTGTGCGTAAACCCTAAACCCTAAACCCTGGACTCCGTGTGCAAACCGTAAACCCTAGACTGTGTGCGTAAACCCTAAACCCTAGACTCCGTGTGTAAACCCTCTCGACCCTAGACGACTCTGTGCGTACGCCTTAAATCCTAGACTCTGTGCGTAAACCCTAAACCCTAAACCCTAAACCCTAAACCCTAAACTGTGTGTGCGCAGGCCGCAGTGGAGAGCATGTTGTATTATATGAATGAATTTCTATCAAATAAATTTCAAGCTGACTTCGATGTCTTGAAGGAACACCTTGACGAACTTCTCAACGGAAACCCTTCCCTCGTAAACCCTAAACCCTAAACCCTAAACCCTAAACCCTAAATCCTAAACCCTCAATTGAGTGCTTCATCTGCACAGCAACAGCCACATGAAACCGTTCTCAACTCGCTAGTAAAGCTGTGTAAATGTTGAATGGGTTTAGGGTTTAGGGCTTTAGGGTTTAGGGTTTAGGGTTTACGGGGTAGTGCCTGTATGCCAAACCCTAAACCCTAAACCCTAAACGGTGCTTGATTCGTAACGGCCGTGTCCCAGCGTGGAGCAGCTGATGGCTAAGGGTTTAGGGTTTAGGGTTTAGGGTTTAGGGTTTAGGGTTTGTGAGCAGGTGATGAAGCTGTACGAGTTTATTTTGCTTATATCTGTCCAAGGAGACTCCCAAGAGATTGTCTCAAAATTTATGCAGCTCGGGGATGCCTCTCAAACCGTTATTCAGAAAGTTATTCAATTCTATGCAGATGATGTAAACCCTAAACCCTAAACCCTAAACCCTCACACAGTCCTTGTGAAGGCAAATATTTAGTTTTCTACTGCCTCTGTAAACCCTAAACCCTAAACCCTAAACCCTGTGGTATGCGTAGAGGTTTTTCGAGGGTGCGAAGTTCTGGATTTACCTAAGGGTTTAGGGTTTAGGGTTTAGGGTTTAGGGTTTGTGGTTTGTGGGTGTATTAGGATGATAGCAACACATTCTCAGAAGTTGCTGTCTTATCAAAGAATTGGGGTTCGAGTTTAAATACACCTAAAGAAGAAAGAGAAGATGAAGGAGGACCGCTAGCTCAGCGGCTGCAGGCTCAGCTAGCTGCAGCAAAGCAGCAGCTAGCTGCT